TAGTTGCCCTCCTCTGGACACATTCCAGCTTGTCAATATCTCTCTTGAATTGTGTTGCCCAGAATTGGACACGGTGTGATTCCAGGTGTGGTCTAACCAAAGTGGAATAGAGCATGAGGAGCAGGACTTCCCTAGATCTAGGCACTAGTCTCCGCTTGATGCAAGGCAAAATCCCGTTGGCTTTTTTAGCTGCAGCATCACAGGTGCCCATCCAACGGTTGTTTGAAAACCTCCAAAGAGTAAAAGACCACGAGAATCCCAGGCAGCAGAATATTCCATTGTGGAACAGCTCAGAAAGTAATTCCTCCTCATGTTTAGGTGGAATCTCTTTTTCTGCCATTTGAATCCGTTGCTCCTTTGTGTCTTAGTCTCTGCAGCAGCAGCAAGCAAGCCTTGTCCACTCCTCAATGGGACATCATTTCAATATGTAAACATAGCTATTATTCCCTCAGGAGCTCCTGGTGGCGCAGCGGGTTAAACTGCTGAGCTGCAGAACTTGCTGACCAGAAGGTTGGTGGATTGAATCCAGGGAGCGGGGTGAGCTCCCGTTATTAGGCCCAGCTTCTGCCAACCTAGCAGTTAAAAGACATACAAATGTGAGTAGATCAATAGGTACTGCTCTGGCGGGAAAGCATTGGCACTCCATGCAGTCCTGCCAGTGGCCATATGACTTTGGAGGTGTCTACGGGCAACACTGGCTCTTTGGCTTAGAAATGGAGATGAGCACCAGAGTCGGGCACGACTGGACTTAATGTCAAGGGGAAACCTTTACCTTTTTATTATTCCTTCTCTCTCAACCTTCTCTTCTCCAAGCTCAATATGTGAGAGGAAGCCATAGGGAGCAAGCTTGTTTTCTGCTTCTCGAGACTAGGACGCAATGGAAGAATGGCTTCAAACTGCAAGAAAGGAGATTCCATCTGAACATGAGGAAGAACTTCCTGACTGTGAGAGCTGTTCAGCAGTGGAACTCTCTGCCTCGGAGTGTGGTGGAGGCTCCTTCTTTGGAAGCTTTTAAACAGAGGCTGGATGACCATCTGTCAGGGGTGATTTGAATGCAATATTCTTGCTTCTTGGCAGAATGGGGGTGGACTGGATGGCCCAGGAGGTCTCTTCCAACTCTTTGATTCTATGATTCAGCTCGGTCAGCCTTTATAGAATTTCCAAGGACATTTCACAAAATTATTTTTTTCCCCAGGTTCTCTTCCTCTCCGTCCCCTTTTATCCTCCCATGCTACCTTTGATTAGATGCTTAATTTGGGAAGCACAACTTCCAAATTACAATCATTCAATATATTTAAGCTGGAGGTTTAGCACAGCTGGTAAATCACCAGCAACAATAAGATCTGTCAACCGAAGGTTGCAAGTTTGAAGCCCTGGGTCAGCGTGAGCAGCCGACTGTCAGCCCTTTTCACTGTTTACTTAAGCAGTTTGAAAACAGCTTTAGCTGTAATTAGAGAAATTAGGTACCACTAAAAGTGGGGGAGGTGTTTTAGGATGCCATCAAGAAAGAAGATCAGAAAATTGGGTTGTAGTTTTTTTCGGGCTATATGGCCATGTTCTAGAGGCATTCTCTCCTGACGTTTCGCCTGCATCTATGGCAGTGTTTCTCAACCTGGGGGTCGGGACTCCTGAGGGGGTCGCGAGGGGGTGTCAGAGGGGTCACCAAAGACCATAAGAAAACACAGTATTTTCTGATGGTCATGGGGATTCCATGTGGGAAGTTTGAGCCAATTCTATCGTTGGTGGAGTTCAGAATGTTCTTTGATTGTAACGAACTATAAATCCCAGCAACTACAACTCGCAAATGTCAAGATCTATTTTCCCCAGACTCCACCAGTGTTCAAATTAGGGCATATTGAGTATTTGTGCCAAGTTTGGTCCAGATCCACCGTTGCATGAATCCACGGTGCTCTCTGGATATAGGTGAACTACAACTCCCAAACTCAAGGTCAATGCCCATCAAACCCTTCCAGTTTTTTCCGTTGGTCATGGGAGCCAAGTTTGGTTCAAATCCATCGCTGGTGGAGTTCAGAATGCTCTTTGATTATAAGTGAATTATAAATCCAAGCAACTACAACTCCAAATCACAAAATCAGTCCTCCCCCAACCCCATTAGCATTCAAATTTGGGTGTATTGGGTATTTGTGCCCAGTTTGGTCCAGTGAATAAAAATACATCCTGCATATGATTTATAACAGTAGTAAAATGACTGTTATGAAGTAGCAACGAAAACAATGTTATGGTTGGGGGTCACCACAACAGGAGGGACTGGATTAAGGGGTCACGGCATTAGGAAGGTTGAGAACCACTGATCTATGGTAAGCATCCTCCTTCCATCACACACTGTGATGACTCTACTGGGATTTTTAAAGGTGCATCTAAATTGCAGAATGGATGCATTTCGACCTGCACTAATTCTACAGAGTTGGGGCACCCTCAATCTTCCTCCAACGTAAGCAGAGGCATCTTTGGGAAATCTGAGTTTTGTGGGGGGGAAATTGGGAGCTGGAGAACATCAATGACTAATATCAATTTGTGGAACTGGGCCAACATGTGGCAGCTGTGAGAACACTGCAGTGCACCCTGAACTGTTGTATTATTTCCTTGTTTGGAAATATTTTTGTTATCGTTTTTGGATGGCTTCTGTCCCTTTTAGGCCCAGGCATGGCTGAGGGACCCAGGTCTGGAGGGTCTTCTTAAAGCCACCTCCAATGGGCCAGGAAGGTAGAGGGAGATTGGCCTGGCTGCCGGCATGGTGACCTCACGGTTGACCTCACAGAGCCCAGATTCCATCTCAGAAGGCTGCCTATTGCCAGTGGGGAGGGGAGGGAGGGCAGGGACGTCAAGAAGAGTGACCCTTCGCTCGGACGCTGGCGGAGCAGGGTGACTGGGGATGATGAGAAGCGAAGCCGCACCTTGACTCCACAGCAGACACACAGAACGCGGTTTCTCCCTTTGGTCTCTCCTTCTCGAAGAAGGATCAGAGGAGCTTTGAGACATGATGGTGGAAAGCCAGAAGGTGCTGGACTTGGGGGGCTCCTCAGAGCCTCAGGTGGTCCGGATGCTCATGAAGACCCCCTGGCAGACAGAAGAGTTCATGGTCCACAAGGACATGTCTGTCCAGGAGCTCAAGGCGCACGTTGCCCGGCATTTCGCCGCCTCTTCGCCAGACCAAGTGGAGCTGGTCTATGCCGGGAAGGTCCTGAAGGACCACAAGGCCTTGGGCCAGTATGCCATCCAGCTGGATGACGAGGCCCTTGTCCACGTGGTCATCCGGTCCCAGCGGGGAGGTCCTCCGATGCCACGGGCCCCCAGCAGCGCCTTTACTCGTGACTGCCTCCGCGAACTGACCGCCAGCCTGGGCCCAAACACGGCCAAGTTCGAGGCCTTCCAAAGCCGGCTGATGTCTCAACCGGAAGTCATGCTGCAGCTGCTGGAGAACCCCTTCATCCAGAGCAAGCTCTCTAGCCCGGACCTGATGAAAGAGCTGGTCACCAACAGTCCTCAGGAGGTGCGGCCGGCCACTCAGCGGCCCTCCGACGCCAACCATTTCTTGACTTCTCCGGAGGGACTGCGGCTGGTGGTGGAGCTGGCCAAGCACCCGGCCGCATTGAGGGAGCTCCTCTGGCCAAATCCCCCAGCTGCTGGATCCCCAGGAAGCATCCCCGGTGGACACAACAACAACAGCAGTGGTGGCCTCCAAGGGACCTTCTCCGAGGTCCAAGGATTCCTGCCCAGAAGGTCAACCCCAAGCAATGGCCACCATGACGAAAAGCCCGGCCGGATCAGGGAACGCCTCTCACCCCGCAACCCTTGGCCTCCGAAGGCATCCCCAGGGGGCAACAACCACAGCAGAGGAGAGAGCTACGGCATCGCAAGAGGAGAGGCCGGGCCACTGGTGAAGAGCCTTCTCCACCAGATCATCAAGCACCTCCTGCAGAACATGATGGGCAGCCCCTCCAGGATGGCCACCGGTGGTCAAGCAGCCCAGAGGAGTGCGGCTGGATCTAGAGCCTCCCAGGAGCAAGGAGCAATGCACATCCCGGCCCTCTTGCAGCAGATCCAGAGCATGGACCTCCTCCTGGCCAACTGGAGCCCCAAAGAGATCCAAGGCTTGCTTGACATCCAGCAGCGGCTGCAAGCCCTGGCTACAGATGAACTGCCAGCTGCAGAGAGAAGAGGGCGGTCTGAGCGTCCGGCAAGGAGGGCCCACTCCATCACCTCTCTCTGCGACTTGGCTCCACCGCCGGACTCCAACAGCACCGGACGGAAGGACTTCTCCGGTGCCCAGCGGATCCTGGAGAGTTTGGTGGGGTCCGGTTTCCTCACCAGCCCAAAGCCCACTGGACATCAAAGGGGCTCCTCAGCCCAGCCGTCAGCCAAGCAGAAGCGGACCTACAAGCTCTGAGTCGCAGAGAGGCTGGACATTGAGGAACGGAGGTGCTGGACCTCTGCCGGACAACGGCAACAAAGCAGGAGCTTCTCCAAGGACTGGACTCCTTAGTTTCTGATGATTAAACAAAGCTTTAGATCTTTCAAAAGGTCTTTCTCTGGGTTCCTCCAAACCAATGGATCCCAAACTTTGGTCCTTCAACTCCCTGAAACCTCAGCTAGCTTGACCAATAGGTCAGGAATTCTGGGGGCTGAAGTCCAAACATCCAGAAGACCAAAGTTTGTGATTCATTCCTCCAAATATTACTTCTTATTCTACACAACAGGTGCAGATGTTCCTTTTTCCAACGTGTTGCTCTTATTATTTGTTGGACTTTGACTTCCCAGGCCTAACAGGGCTCTTATCTCTTCAAGGGTTGCCTAGAATTAAAGGGTTAGGGACCCCAAGGGCTATCCAATCAAACCCCTTTCTGCCAGGCAGTAAAGCACACCCAACAGGTCACAGAATCATAGAATTCTAGAATCATAGAGTTGGAAGAGACCTCCTGGGCCATCCAGTCCAACTCCATTCTGCCAAGAAGCAGGAATATTGCATTCAAATCACCCCTGACAGATGGCCACCAGCCTCTGTTTAAAAGCTTCCAAAGAAGGAGCCTCCACCACACTTCAGGGCAGAGAGTTCCACTGCTAAACAGCTCTCACAGTCAGGAAGTTCTTCCTCATGTTCAGATGGAATCTCCTCTCTTGTAGTTTGAAGCCATTGTTCCATTGCGTCCTAGTCTCCAGGGAAGCAGAAAACAAGCTTGCTCCTTCCTCTCACATATTTAGACATGGCTAAATATCTCCTCTCAGCCTTCTCTTCTTCAGGCTAAACATGCCCAGCTCCTTAAGCCGCTCCTCATAGGCTTGTTCTCCAGACCCTTGATCATTTTAGTTGCCCTCCTCTGGACACATTCCAGCTTGTCAATATCTCTCTTGAATTGTGTTGCCCAGAATTGGACACGGTGTGATTCCAGGTGTGGTCTAACCAAAGTGGAATAGAGCATGAGGAGCAGGACTTCCCTAGATCTAGGCACTAGTCTCCGCTTGATGCAAGGCAAAATCCCGTTGGCTTTTTTAGCTGCAGCATCACAGGTGCCCATCCAACGGTTGTTTGAAAACCTCCAAAGAGTAAAAGACCACGAGAATCCCAGGCAGCAGAATATTCCATTGTGGAACAGCTCAGAAAGTAATTCCTCCTCATGTTTAGGTGGAATCTCTTTTTCTGCCATTTGAATCCGTTGCTCCTTTGTGTCTTAGTCTCTGCAGCAGCAGCAAGCAAGCCTTGTCCACTCCTCAATGGGACATCATTTCAATATGTAAACATAGCTATTATTCCCTCAGGAGCTCCTGGTGGCGCAGCGGGTTAAACTGCTGAGCTGCAGAACTTGCTGACCAGAAGGTTGGTGGATTGAATCCAGGGAGCGGGGTGAGCTCCCGTTATTAGGCCCAGCTTCTGCCAACCTAGCAGTTAAACATGCAAATGTGAGTAGATCAATAGGTACTGCTCTGGCAGGAAGGTAACAGCGCTCCATGCAGTCATGCCAGTGGCCATATGACTTTGGAGGTGTCTACGGGCAACACTGGCTCTTTGGCTTAGAAATGGAGATGAGCACCAGAGTCGGACACGACTGGACTTAATGTCAAGGGGAAACCTTTACCTTTTTATTATTCCTTCTCTCTCAACCTTCTCTTCTCCAAGCTCAATATGTGAGAGGAAGCCATAGGGAGCAAGCTTGTTTTCTGCTTCTCGAGACTAGGACGCAATGGAAGAATGGCTTCAAACTACAAGAAAGGAGATTCCATCTGAACATGAGGAAGAACTTCCTGACTGTGAGAGCCGTTCAGCAGTGGAACTCTCTGCCCCGAGTGTGGTGGAGGCTCCTTCTTTGGAAGCTTTTAAGAGGCTGGATGGCCATCTGTCAGGGGTGCTTTGAGTGCAATATTCCTGCTTCTTGGCAGAATGGGGTTGGACTGGATGGCCCATGAGGTCTCTTCCAACTCTTGGATTCTATGATTCAACATCCCCAGCTGTCTAAGATGCTCCTCAGAGGAATTCATGGTGTCCAGACCTTTGATCAATTGGTCACCCTTCTCTTGTCCATTCCTTTCTTGAGTTGCTTTGCCCAGAACTGGACACAGGGTTATTTTAGGTAGAGAGAGTTGGACTGTGATGTCCCTCAATCTGGACATCATTCCCCATCTTAATAAGTCCAAGTGATACTTGACCAGAGTGGACAGCCTTAATTGGTCTGGCCTGGCTTGAAGCAAGACCAATGTCCAGCTCTTGTGTCCAGGATACGGACTGCCTGGGACTTGCCTGGAGGAGGGAGGCGAAGAGGATCTGGCCGTCATTGGAATCCTAATCTAGCAAGACAGGCCTCTTGAGCTGAGAGGAAAGGCTGAGAAGTGATACCGATTGAGCCGTCCTGAAGCGTCAGAAGGGACGTCCACAGGACGGTCACATTCTCAGATGGGAATTATTTATTTACAGCATTTATATACCGCTTTTCTCACCCCGAAGGGGACTCAAAAGCGGTTTTGTGACCATCCTGTGGCCATCTCGACAAATTATCAGGATCTGAAAGGACCTCAACTAAATGAACTTCAATTGGGAGAAAAGCCGCTCCTCAGGGGGATCATTCATGGTCTCCAGACCTCTGACCCTTGTGGTTGCCTTCTTTTTGCCCTCCCTGTTTGGTCCCATTTGCAAATTTGGAAAGCATGCCTTCTATGGGTTGTTGTAGGTTTTTCCGGGCTATATGGCCATGGTCTAGAGCAGTGTTTCTCAACCTCTGGAGGGGTGGCAAAGGGGTGTCAGAGGGGTCGCCAAAGACCATAAGAAAACTCAGCATTTTCTGTTCGTCATGGGGGTTCTGTGTGGGAAGTTTGGCCCAATTCTATCATTGGTGGGGTTCAGAAGGCGTGCGTTTTAATTGTAGGTGAACTATAAATTCCACCAACTACAACTCCCAACTGTCAATGCCTATTTTCCCCAAACTCCACCAGTGTTCACATTTGGGCATATTGAGTATTCGTGCCAAGTTTGGTCCAGATGCATCATTGTTTGAGTTCACAGTGCTATCTGGACGTAGGTGAACTACAGCTCCCAAACTCAAGGTCAGTGTCCACTAAACTCTTCCAGTATTTTTTGTTGGTTGAGAGTTATGTGAACCAAATCTGGTTCAATTCCATCGTTGGTGGAGTTCAGAATGCTCTTTTTGTAGGTGAACTATAAATCCCAGCAACTACAACTCCCAAATGACAAAATCCCCCCCCCCCCCCCAAACTCGTATTTAAATTTGGGTGTAAGGGGTATTTGTGCCAAATTTGGTCCAGTGAATGAAAATACATCCTGCATATCAGATATTTACATTATGATTCATAACAGTAGCAAAATTACAGTTATGAAGTCGCAACAAAACTAATGTCATGGTTGGGGGTAACCACAACATGAGGCACTGGTTAATTGTAGGTTTTTTCAGGCTGTATGGCCATTGTCTAGAGGCATTCTCTCCTGACGTTTCGCCTGCATCTATGGCAAGCATCCTCAGAGGTAGTGAGGTCTGTTGGAACTAGGAAAAAGGCTTTATATATCTGTGGAATGACCAGGGTGGGACAAAGGACTCTTGTCTGCTGGAGCTAGGTGTGAATGTTTCAACTGACCACCTTGATTAGCATTTGATGGCCTGGCAGTGCCTGGGGAAATCTTTTGTTGAGAGGTGATTAGATGTCCTTGATTGTTTCCTCTCTGTTGTTTTGATGCTAATTAAGGTGGTCAGTTGAAACATTCACACCTAGCTCCAGCAGACAGAGTCCTTTGTCCCACCCTGGTCATTCCACAGATATATAAACCCTTTTTCCTAGTTTCCAACAGACCTCACTACCTCTGAGGATGTTTGACATAGATGCAGGCGAAACGTCAGGAGGGAATGCCTCTAGACCATGGCCACATAGCCCAAAAAACCCTACAACAACCCAGTGATTCCGGTCATGAAAGCCTTCGACAGCTCCTTCCTTCCCTTCTCTTCCCTTTCTCTATCCTCAAAGGTTATGAGGTCTGTTGGAACTAGGAAAAAGGCTTTATATATCTGTGGAATGACCAGGGTGGGACAAAGGACTCTTGTCTGCTGGAGCTAGGTGTGAATGTTTCAACTGACCACCTTGATTAGCATTTGATGGCCTGGCAGTGCCTGGAGCAATCTTTTGTTGAGAGGTGATTAGATGTAGTGTCAAAGGCTTTCATGGCCGGAATCACTGTGTTGTTGTAGGTTTTTCTGGGCTATATGGCCATGTTCTACCCTCAGAGGTAGTGAGGTCTGTTGGAACTAGGAAAAATGGGTTTATATATCTGTGGAATGACCAGGGTGAGACAAAGGACTCTTGTCTGCTGGAGCTAGGTGTGAATGTTTCAACTGACCACCTTGATTAGCATTTGATGGCCTGGCAGTGCCTGGAGCAAACTTTTGTTGAGAGGTGATTAGATGTCCCTGATTGTTTTCCCTCTGCTGTTTTGCTGCTTTAATGGTCTTTCCACAGATATATAAACCCATTTTCCTAGTTCCAATAGACCTCACCACCTCTGAGGATGCTTGCCATAGATGCAGGCGAAACGTCAGGAGAGAATTATTTATTTATTTATTTATTTATTTATTTCATCTACTTATACCCCGCCCTTCTCACCCCGAGGGGGACTCAGGGCGGCTTACAGGAAAGGCACAATTAGATGCCCAAAACACACAACAAACAATACAAAATATAACAATTCAACAATTAAAATAAAACATCAATACCTAATAAAATCATAAAAACTATCTCATGTCAGAGTCCATATATCAGAGTCCATATATCCATTCCATTCCATTCCATTGTCCTTGTCTATCGACAGGTCCGTTAGTTAGTTGTCAGCATGGCCAAAAGCTTGGTCCCACATCCAGGTCTTTAGTTTTTTCCTAAACGCTAGAAGGGAAGTCGTCGATCTGATCTCCCGGGGAGTGAGTTCCACAGGTGAGGGGCCACCACTGAGAAGGCCCTGCTCCTCGTCCCCGCCAGCCTCACTTGTGCCACTGGCGGGGTCGAGAGCAGGGCCTCCCCAGAAGATCTTAAACTTCGAGGTGGGATGTAGAGGGAGATCCGTTCGGACAAATACACTGGGCCGGAACCGTATAGGGTTTTGTAGGTCAAAACCAGCACTTTGAATTGTGCTTGGAATTGGATCGGCAGCCAGTGGAGCTGACGCAACAGGGGGGTGGTGTGCTCCCTGTACGCCGCTCCGGTGAGCAATCTGGCTGCTTCTCGCTGAACTAGTTGAAGTTTCCGAGCAGTCTTCAAAGGCAACCCCACGTAGAGTGCGTTGCAGTAATCCAACCGGGATGTGACAAGAGCGTGGACCACTGTGGCCAGATCCGACTTCCCAAGGTACGGGCGCAGCTGGCGCACAAGAATGCCTCTACAACATGGCCATATAGCCTGGAGAAAACTACAACAATCCAGTGATTCCGGCCATGAAAGCCTACGACAATGACATCTAATCACCTCTCAGCAAAAGATTGCTCCAGGCACTGTCAGGCCATTATATGCTTATCAAGGTGGTCAGTTCAGACATTCACACCTCGCTCCAACAGACAAGAGTCCATTGTCCCACCCTGGTCATCATTCCACAGATATATAAACCCTCTTTTTCCTAGTTCCAACAGACCTCACTACCTCTGAGGATGCTTGCCATAGATGCAGGCGAAACGTCAGGAGAGAATGCCTCTAGAACATGGCCATATAGCCTGAAAAAACCTACAACAACGCAGTGATTCCGGCCATGAAAGCCTTGGGCATCTCCTTCCTCCTTCTCTCATTTCCTCCCTTCCCTTCTCTGCTCTCTTGGGCCGAGAAGGCCACAGACCAGGCCTGGCCCAACTCCCAGGAAACACAACGGAAGCGGAAGCCCAAACACGCAGGAGCAGGAGGCTCCTCCCCCTTGTCAGTCACGCCTTGTCAATCACGGCCACTTCCGCCTCGCTCCGCTCCCGCCTCCCAGCGGAGTGCGCGTAGAACAGCAAGCAGGAGGCGGGGCTTAGGGCGCTGAGGCCGCGTCGTCACTTCCGCCTGGCAGGGAGAAGATTTCCCGGCGTGCCCCGCGCTGGCCCTTTTCGCCTCACGCGGCCCAAGATGGCGGACACGCAGGTAGGCGCTCCCCGCGCGGCCTAGTCTTCCCGGGAAACAAACCGAGCCTGCCTCGATTGCGGCCCGGTTCATGTCCTAATATCTCCATATCTGTCCTGTTTTTCTTTCACCCCTTCTTATCCTGGGATTGTTGGGGCTCATTCTTTCCTCTCCAGGATATATATAGAAGTAGGAAAATGGGTTTTTATATCTTTATATATCTGTGGAAAGTATATATTTATATATCTGTGGAAAGTGTGTGTATATATATACACACACACTTTCCACAGATATATATATATGTGTGTGTATATGTATATATATATATCTGTGGAAAGTGTGTGTGTATATATATATACACACACACACTTTCCACAGATATATATGTGTGTGTGTGTGTGTATATATATATATATATCTGTGGAAAGTGTGTGTGTGTATATATGTGTATATATATATATATACTTATATACATATATACACACACACACTTTCCACAGATATATATATATATATACACACACACACACACTATATATATATATATATATATATATCACATACACACACACATATATATCTGTGGAAAGTGTGTGTGTATATATGTGTGTATATATATATATATATATATATATATATATATATATATATGCAGATATATATATATATATATGTGTGTGTATGTATATATATATATATATATATCTGTGGAAAGTGTGTGTGTGTTTGTATATATATATACTTATATATATATACACACACACTTTCCACAGATATATATGTGTGTGTGTATGTGTGTGTATGTATATATATATATATATATATATATATATATATATATATATATCTTGTGTGGAAAGTGTGTGTGTGTGTATATATATGTGTGTGTGTGTGTGTGTGTGTATACACACACTTTCCACAGATATATATCTGTAGAAAGTGTGTGTGTGTGTGTGTATATATATATATGTGTGTGTGTGTTTGTATATATATATACACACACACACACTTTCCACAGATATATATGTGTGTGTGTGTGTGTATATATATATATATCTGCAGACAAGAGTCCTTTGTCTCACCCTGGTCATTCCACAGATATATAAACCCTTTTTCCTAGTCCCAGCAGGCCTCACTACCTCTGGGGATGCTTGCCATAGATGCAAGCGAAACATCAGGAGAGAATGCCTCTAGAACATGGCAATATAGCCCGAAAAAACCTACAACAACGCAGTGATTTCAACTGACCACCTTGATTAGCATTTGATGGCCTGACAGTGCCTGGAGCAATCTTTCACACACACACACACACACACATATATATATTTGTATTTTGTCTGTTTTGTTTGCTTTGCTCTGTTAGAAATGTAATATAATTGACTGGTTGCCCTGACACGACAAATAAATAAAGGGAGAAAAGGTTGGATATAAATAAATATGCATTCATTATACATACATATATAATAATAATAATATCATAATATAATAAAGGTAAAGGTTTCGCTTTGACATGAAGTCTGATAAATTCTATATAATAATAATAATAATATTTATTTTATTTCAAAGTTTTATATACCGAGCTTCTCACCTCATAAGAGGGACTCAGCCCGGTTTCCAACCATAAAAACACATACAATCGGTAAAATATCAAAATACACATTACAATAAAACATTTAAAAAGCACATATATTTAAAACTACAGTGGTCAGTCGTCATACTAAAATCGAATATACACCGTCTTCCATCCAGATCATTGTCTCATTCTTCGAAAGCCTGTCTCCATAACCACGACTTCACCTGTTTCCTGAATGTCAGGATTGTTGGGGCGGTTCTAACCTCTGGCGGGAGAGAGTTCCAGAGTCACGGGGCCACCACCGAGAAGGCCCTGTCCCTCGTCCCCACCAGCTGCGCTTGTGAGGCCGGTGGGACCGAGAGCAGGGCCCCTCCAGATGATCTTAGTAATCTTGATGGTTCGTAGGGAAGAATACGTTCGGAGAGGTAAACCGGGCCGGAGTCGTTTAATAATAATACAATATAATAATATTTATTTATTTGGTTTACTTTTACCCCGCCCTTCTCACCCCGAAGGGGTGTAGGTAAGAGCACGGTCCAGAGTGACTCCCAGGTATTTGGGTGCGCTGCAATGCTCCAGTGGGATTCCTTCCCAGGTCATCCTCAGAGCTTGGGATAAAATAAAATAAATTCATTACAACGCATGCACAAAACCACATGTATACACACACAAAACACATATACACTGACTGTCACAGCAGCGTGTGGTAGGGGATGGCTGGTGTGTATGCTAACGTATGCTAACAACATTTAGCAAAGATTAAAAACAAACAAATTGTGACTCTAAAATTCATAACTTTTTTATTTGGTCTCTGTTGAAACATTTCACCATTCTGTTTGTTTGCCCCAAATATGATAATATATGGATGAAATAACACGAATTCAGTTTTTTCAGAGTGTTCTCAGTGGCATGCATTATTTTGTGAGACTTGCAAAATTTTATTCTTGAGATTAGTTACTTTTAAGTATGTTTTCCTTTTTATCTGTGACTTCCTTTTGTTGTATATGCCTATGCTTTGATTTTGTTGTATGCCAATAAAGGCTGTGTGTGTTACTTTAAGATTTCAGTAGTAGTGGTGTGCCATAAAATTACAAGGAGCGAAAAATCTATATCCATAAATTATAAAAATTGCACTATAAAAAACCACACCACATATTGCGTGCTACAGGAAATTGCCGTATGACTTATTCTCCCTCGTCTGGGTCTAGGCTCCCAATTCTTTCTTCCAGATCTGATCACTCCTTCTCCCCTTCCCTCCTGTTTGTGTTCTCTCCCAATGACAGACGGAGAGGGCTTACCAGAAGCAGCCCACCATCTTCCAGAACAAGAAGCGGGTGCTTCTGGGGGACACTGGCAAAGAGAAGCTCCCTCGCTATTACAAGAACATCGGCCTGGGCTTCAAGACCCCCAAGGAGGTAGCTGCCGTCTTCCACATTGAATGTGGGGTTGCGAGACAGGGTTATTGGTTTGTGTGGGGACAAAAAGGGAGTAACCACTAGAGAGCAAGGATTCCCTGAAATACAAAGGCAGAAGACCACTATAGACCAAAAAATAATACAGTTATACACTCACAATAATGTATCTCATATCTATACTTATAATACTAACACATTCAATGTGCTTGCATCTACTACAAAGTATACTACATGCAATTCTATGAACCAAAAGATCTCCTTATATGGGATTAACAGCTAATTCTTATAGCAAAATGCATAGGTTTGTAGGTTCTTTTTGAAAACCAAAAGTTTATCAATAACAAATTAAAGTTTGTAAGTCTTTTTTTTTGCAAATCTCTTAATCCAGAGCTTCTTGATGTGGGTACACAGCTGTATGTACAAGCTTGTAAGTCCTTATTTTAGGCCAAAGTTTGTCAACAGCAAAACACAGTATATCAGCCCTTTTTTAGAATCACAGTTTATAAACCACAACCGGTTTTGACTACGTGGAGTCTTCTTCAGGTGGTAGTTGACACAGGTGTAGAAATCCACGAAAGGTAAGAACATTGAATGTGTTAGTATTATAAGCATAGATATGAAATACATTGTTGTGAGTATATAGCTATTATTTTTTGGTCTATAGTGACAAAAAGGGAATGCCTGCATCATGCATTTTGCCACTTTTGAACCTTTCCCTTTAGGGAATAAGCTTGCAGATGGGACCAAATTGGGAGGGAGAGCTAATCGCCCAGAGGACAGGATCATAAAGGACCTCAACAGGTTTGAGAGAGCAGATCAGCCAAAACTACCAAAATAGAGGGAGAAATGTATGGTACAACACCTTGGCAATAACCACAAAATGCAGAGATATAGGATAATGGGCACCTGGTGTGAAAACGGTCCATTGAAAGGATCTAGGAGTCTATGTAGACCCCAAGCAGAACATGAGTCCACAGTGTGATACAGCAGCTTAAATGGCCAATGCAATTCTAGGCTGTACCCAAAGGAGGCTAGCATCCAGATCCCGGAAAGCAGTAGTCCTACCCTCTCCTACTTTGGTCAGACCTCACCTGGAATAATAACAGTGTATCCAGTTGTGACCAAAGCAAGCAAGGAGGTGAACATGATGTAAGGGTCCAGAGAAGGGCCACCAGAAAGGTCAAAGGTCTGGAAGCCAAGACTTTTGGCTTAGGGAGCTAGGGTGTTTAGCTTAGAGAAGAAAAGTCTGAGAGAAGGGGACATGAGAGCCATGTTTTTATATCTGGAGGGAGGTCCAGGGTTTAGCCTATTTTCTGCTTCTCTGCAATAACAGCATTTCCTAATATTGGGTTGTAGGTTTTTTCGGGCTATATGGCCGTGTTGTAAAGGCATTCTCCTGATGTTTCGCCTGCATCTATGGCAAGCCTCCTCAGAGGTTGTGAGGACCTCACAGCCTCTGAGGATGCTTGCCATAGATGCAGGCGAAACATCAGGAGAGAATGCCTCTAGACCATGGCCATATAGCCCGAAAAACCTACAACAACCCAGTGATTCCAGCTATGAAAGCCTTTGACAGTACATTTCCTAATATTCTTAAAGTTGACTTAGAACAGTGGTTCTCAACCTTGAGTCCCCAGATGTTTTTGGCCTACAAGTCCAAGAAATCCTAACAGCTGGTAAACTAYCTGGGATTTCTGGGAGTTGAAGGCCAAAAACATCTGGGGACCCCAGGTTGAGAACCACTGACTTAGAAGGTGAGTCTCGCAGGCTCCGAAGCTGCATTTTTCTGGGGCTAGTGCTGCCTTTTCATCTCCAATGGCTTAACTGTAGCATATAATCCTTTAATATCAATGACAGTGARGGATTTGGGCTAAATGCATATTTTTCTCTGGTGGGTCACCTGACCACAAAGGAAACAGACCCRCCTCKTTCTCTGGCYCTGACACATGATGTTCATTCTCARGATGGTCTTCCAAGCCTCGCTGGTGAAAGGGGCTTTGACGAGAGCGGCCAAGAGGCCATAACTGAAGTCAGCTCATGCCAGAGGGGTCTCTGGGTGGGATCTAAGCCACCGCCTGTAGTTTTGGGGGCTAGACGGCYCCAGGTTAGAATCGACCACATGGGGGTCAGTGAAATAATCTCTGTACAAACTGGTGGTACTTTTTGCTTCAAAAAGTGGCATTGCATGGGGGGGGGGATGTCATGATGCAACACTGTTTTATTTGTTTGGAGGGGCTTCATCGGCATAAATGCAGCCTGGGATCAGCTGTATTTCCCTGCCCTTTCCTTTGGATTCCAGCTGCTGAAGGCTGCTATTTGGAGGCTCTAATGGACAAAGACCTTGTTGTGAATTGGGACTGAGAGTCCCTTTTATTTCCTTCCACTGGTGTTTCTTCTTTCTGAGGACATAATGGTTTCTTTGCTCCTAGGCCATCGAAGGCACATACATTGACAAGAAATGCCCTTTCACGGGCAACGTCTCGATCCGAGGCCGCATCCTGTCAGGTAAGAGGCTCCTGGGGGCAAAGAGGGAATACGTTCTCTTTCACTCGGTGGCATTTTCCTGAAGCACAGAGCAGGAATGTTTTCCTGCAAGCACACGCTATTCAGGAACCACCTGGCTAAATGTGTGTGCTTATCTAAAAAGTGACCTTGTTGGAGAGAAAAGTGGGGTATAAACAAACAACAACAACAACATTTGGTGCTAGGAACTTCAGTTTTCTAACACAACAGCTATTTTTCAGTTCATAAAACCCGTCAGTAAACCATCCTTTAGAATCCATGCTCTAGAATGGCACTTTTCGATGCAGTGCACTACAGCAGAGTGGCCATGTAGGATCACTCAAAACAGCACACTGTGATGCCACAGTCAGTTGGCAACAGAACTTAAACCTATGAAGCTGCAAAATGATCAGCAGAGGCGTTCCTAAGTTTTAGTTGGGACAGGTGAGGGTTTTTTAAAAGCCACATTCGAAAATGGCAGGTGAGTTAGTCATTGGATGAATGACCTCAAACCTGGAAGGAAGGCTGGGCAAGAATTGGGGAGCTCCTTTGTGCAGAAGCACCCCCGCCCCAGTTGTCAGAGACTCAGAGATTCTGACAGCTCAGTTCTTGTGGGTTTTTTTGGGCTATATGGCCATGTTCTAGAGGCATTTGACGTTTCGCCTGCATCTATGGCAAGCTTCCTCAGAGGTCCTCTGAGGAAGCTTGCCATAGACCTCTGAGGAAGCTTGCCATAGATGCAGGTGAAACGTCAAATGCCTCTAGAACATGGCCATATAGCCCGAAAAAACCCACAAGAACTGAGTGATTCCGGCCATGAAAGCCTTCGACAATATTCTGACAGCTACTTGCACATTCCTTAGACCAGTGTTTCTCAACCTGGGGGTCAGGAGCCCTGTGGGGGTTGCAAGGGGGTGCAAAGGGGTCGCCAAAGACCATCAGAAAACATAGTATTTTCTGTTGGTCATGGGGGTTCTGTGTGGGATGTTTGGTCCAGTTCTATCGTTGGTAGGGTTCAGAATGTTATTTCAATGTGGGTGAACTATAAATCCCTCTCAAAGGTTAAGGTCTATTTTCCTCAAACTCCGCCAGTGTTCACATTTTGGCATATTGAGTATTCATCCCAAGTTTGGTCCAGATCCATCATTGTTTGAGTCCACAGTGCTCTCTGGATGTAGGTGAACTACAACTCCAAAAATTTACGGTCAATGTCCACCAGATCCTCCCAGTATTTTCTCTTGGTCATGGGAGTTCTGTGTGCCAAGTTGGTTCAGTTTCATCATTGGTGGAGTTCAGAATGCTCTTTGATTGTAGGTGAACTATAAATTCCAGCAACTACAGCTCCCAAATGAAAAAAATCAATCCCCTCCCAACCCCACCGGTATTCAAATTTGGGCATATTGGGTATTTGGGATTTGAAAATACATCCTACATTTAAGATATTTACATTACGATTCATAACAGTATGAACAGTTACGAAGTAGCAATGAAAATGTTGTGGTTGGAGGTCACCACAACATGAGGAACTGTACTAAGGGGTTGCGGCATTAGGAACGTTGAGAAACGTTGTCTTAGACACTATCAGCATTTAATGTTTTCCCATGGATTGTGAGCAGGACCAAGCTGGATGTGTCATGTGCCTGACAGTTGCAGCCATGTCTGCCTTCAGAAGGTATTGTTTGTGTCCGGTTCAGGGACCTGAGTATTCTCCTTTGGCCAGAAATCCAGCCTTGCTTTGCCAAGTCTGGCCCCAAAGGTCCTGCTGCCTCCCCATTTCCCACATCTGCCCCTTCAGGTTCCCAAAGCGCAAATGATGTCTTTCTCAAGGTCCTGCTGCCTCCCCATTTCCCACATCTGCCCCTTCAGGTTCCCAAAGCGCAAATGATGTCTTTCTCACGATGGTCTGCTGAACCCCATGGTGAAGGAGTTCTGGTGAAACCGCCTTGTGGCTTAGCTGATGCCTTTGGGAGGAACCTAGGGGCGAACTTGTCGTAGAATCCAAAAGAATTTTCACAGATTGTAGAGCTGCTTGGCCAAAACTGACAAGCTGAATTTCAACACGGAGAAATGTTACACTTGGGCAGAAGCAGTGAATTGCACAGATATGGAATGGATGGCACAATCCGTGTGAGCCAGCAGTGTGATGCAGTAGCTCAGAAAGCAAATGCCATCCTAAGTTGCATAAATAGAAGAGTCTAGTGTTTTTTTCTTTTTTTAATAGATTTTATTTACATACAATAACAATTTACAGTGTAAACAAAACACAAAACAGTGAACATTCACATGACCCCACCACCAAGGCCTGAATAAGTATCCTTTCATAGAATCAAAGAGTTGGAAGAGACCTTCTGGACCATCCAGTCCAACCCCCTGCCAAGAAGCAGGAATATTGCATTCAAATCACCCCTGACAGATGGCCATCCAGCCTCTGTTTAAAAGCTTCCAAAGAAGGAGCCTCCACCACACTCCAGGGGCAGAGAGTTCCACTGCTGAACGGCTCTCACAGTCAGGAAGTTCTTCCTAATGTTCTAGGAATCTCCTTTCTTGTAGTTTGAAGCCATTGTTTTGCGTCCTAGTCTCCAGGGAAGCAGAAAGGAAGCTTGCTCCCTCCTCCTCCCTGTGGCTTCCTCTCACATATTTATACATGGCTATCATCATATCTCCTCTCAGCCTTCTCTTCTTCAGGCTAAACATGCCCAGCTCCTTAAGCCGCTCCTCATAGGGCTTGTTCTCCAGACCTTTTATCAATTTAGTCAGTCAGTCAGTCAGTAGCCTTTATTTCGGTCAACAAACCATCGGCTAAGTCAAGTGAAAGTAGAATGATGAAATACAACAATTTACAATTAATAACATCACATTTGGCTTATAATTAATAAAAACAAGTATCACCATTCGCTATCGGATGAATGGCTGTCTATATAACCTAAAACAGAAACTGATTGCAAGTTAATAATAAGTCTCCCGAGTACTCTTTGTTACACTCAACCTTTACAGGTTATTCATGAAGCACTTGCGGCTTTTTGCCGCTGCAAACAGAAATTTGGCCACCTGTTCCGTTACCCTTTTATCAAGATCAGACAGTAAATAAGTGCAGTACCAACTTAGGGATCTTCCTGGCCACTTGGTGAGTAGAGGGGATATTAACCTTAGTCTATCATCCTTGTAAATTGTGCAAATAAAAAGTACATGTGTTACAGTTTCAATTTTACCCTCCCCGCATGGGCAAACTCTGTGTTCGTAATCAGTCCCTTTGTATCTGCCCTCTAGTATGGCTGATTTGAGGGCATTGAATCTGGCCCAACTGAAAGCAAGGCGAAATTTTGGGATGTTTAAATTTTCTAAGTATTTGGCACCTCCCAAAGAATTAAATGTTAGGCCTAAACTCAATGGAGAGCATGTGGAGCGCGCCAGAGTCATTGAGTCCTGTTTGTCTATGTCACTGATCCGTTCCGCTAAGATCTGCATTAACTTTTTATGCTCAAAACCGCTCAATGTATTCTCTGAGAGGCCCATCTGCCTGAGTTTCTGATTTAGCGCTTTGATTCGGTGGGATTTAAAGAGGTCTTTTTGAATCAGATATGTATATCCCGCTTCAGGCCCTTTGTGCACCCTCTCCATCCAGTATCCTAGGGCCCTTCTCCAAGCCAGTGATTCGAGTGAGGCTGTTCCTGATTCCAGTCTTAAAACAGCAGATGGAACACAACTGGGGACAGCAAACAGTTTTCTAAGAAACCCTGATTGAACTTGTTCTACTTTAGATGTGAAGCCTGTGATCCATACCGGAATTGCGTGTAATAATTGGGCTGTTACCTTTGCTTGGAAGACCTTTGTTGCTGCTGGTATATACTGGCCACCTTTGGTGTAAAAAAAGCGAATTATTGCTTTACTACTGGATAGGGCATTTTGAACTGCCATTTTTAGGTGGCATCCCCAGGAACCTGAGGCTTGAAAGGTAACCCCTAGATATTTAAAACTGGAAACTTGTTCAATTAAGTTCTTTCCCATGTACCAATTATGTCTGGCTCGCTTCTTTGAGAAGACCATGATTTTGGTTTTACTATAGTTTATCTTTAGCTGGTTTTTCTCACAGTATTGGTAGAATGCACTCAGCACTCGCTTGAGTCCTACCTTGGTGTAAGATATGAGGGCAGCATCATCTGCATATAACAATAGCGGTATATTGGTGGATGAGATTTTAGGGGGATGTCCATTTGGCAGTGAGACATGGGTGGCTAGGTCGTTCAGAAACAGGTTAAACAGAATAGGGGCCAGGATGCACCCCTGGCGCACCCCCCTATTTACTGCTATTGGTTTTGAGAGATTGCCTTGTACTCCACATCTTACTTGTGTTGAAGTGTTTGAATATAAGCTCTTAATTAACCAGAGCAATCTTTTGTCAATTGTGGTCTTCTGTAGTTTTATCAATTTAGTCGCTCTCCTCTGGACACATTCCAGCTTGTCCAGAGGAGAGCGACTAAAATTTCCTTCACCCTGTATTTATAAATCAACCCTTAATCAAATGTCATATCCAAAATTCCTGACCAACAAAGTTCTGTTGTTTTCCATTTTCACTCTCTAAGGCATATTTAATGAAGACCGACCAGTATACCTCAAAATCTGATCTGTTAATTTCCCCCCTGAATACCCTCATTTCCATTGTTAATTTATCATTTAAGGCTACGTTCCATACCTCCCTATACCATGCTTCCAGTGTTAGATTAGTTATTATTTTCCAGTTCTTTGCTATTATAATTCTTCCCACTGTGAGTAAAATAATCACCAATTCTTTCTTACTTGTTTCTAAATTCAGCTTCGTGGTGTCCATTAATAATGCTAACCTGGCATCCGGCGTAATATTTGA